GATCCACACTTTCTGGATAAAGAAACCCACAATAATGCATTAACGCCTACCAGCCCAAATACACTAGCTACTAGCAAAAGGGTCCCACTCTGACTGACTAACATAGGCCAGAACAATACTGGTTATGAACGACCATCACAGGGAACAAAATCATCTAACACCAACCAATCACATTGGACCATCAGAGGCTCAAAGACCAAACAGTGACACTGGATTCTAAGAACAGACAGCAGTCTGAGTCCTGCCTACTACAAGAAAGCCTATGACACAATGCCGCACACATAGATTTGGGAATGATTGCCTCTATATGAGATCAGCAAAACACATCAAGAACTTGATGGGCAAGTTGAGAACAAATCTAGAAGTCAATTCCAGGACCATTACTTAAGTGAACATCAAATGTGTCTAATAACTACAAGTGAAAATAAAAATACAAATGGTGAGAGCACTCAAATAAAATAATTACGATACAGTTACCCAAACTGGATTATCATCTGGAAGTAAAAACAGAGATAAAAAGAGAACATAGGGTAATAACGTAATAACAAACAATTGGAGACTCAATTACTGGTCGCACTCACATAACAAGAGCCACTTCAAAAGCTGGCTCAAACTTGCATGCCTTGAATCACAAACTCTCTCAGGGCTTTCACTGGGTCCTTTCTTGTAGTTACTGTTCCATGCACCACCAAGAAACGCAGGTTCAAGGGGTAACCATATACTTTATTGTAAAAGGAATAAAAACTACATAAAACGAAGGAAGTCCCTTAATAGTAAAAAGTCCACAGAGCACCTGACGCGTTTCGGCAATAGGCCTTCATCCGAGGATGAAGGCCTATTGCCGAAACGCGTCAGGTGCTCTGTGGACTTTTTACTATTAAGGGACTTCCTTCGTTTTATGTAGTTTTTATTCCTTTTACAATAAAGTATATGGTTACCCCTTGAACCTGCGTTTCTTGGTGGTGCATGGAACAGAACTACAAGAAAGGACCCAGTGAAAGCCCTGAGAGAGTTTGTGATTCAAGGCATGCAAGTTTGAGCCAGCTTTTGAAGTGGCTCTTGTTATGTGAGTGCGACCAGTAATTGAGTCTCCAATTGTTTGTTATTACGTTATTACCCTATGTTCTCTTTTTATCTCTGTTTTTACTTCCAGATGATAATCCAGTTTGGGTAACTGTATCGTAATTATTTTATTTGAGTGCTCTCACCATTTGTATTTTTATTTTCACTTGTGTTTATTTAGTGGTTTCTGTGGCTCCACTAAGGTGATTGTAGCACCTTTTCTGTTAGGACTTTTTCACCGGTATATTTTATTGTTATTTACTTGTGTCTAATAACTAGTTGAGGTACTATCCCCAATGCTGTTCTGTATGGGTCTTAACCCCCTCAGCCACATCATTATGAACAGTGGCTATGTATATAGGTTCAAGACTGGAGCAACCATCAACCATCTCTACTACAAAGATGAAATCAAGATGTATGCCTATAGTGAGTTAGATTTGACCCACTGATTCACCTAACTAGAATATACAGCAAGGTCATTGGAATGATGTTCAGACTAGATAAGTATGGGTGAATGATAGCAAAAAAGGGGAATGAACAGGACCGAAGGAATATCAGAAGGCCAAATAGGAGAACAACTACATGTACCTAGGGATGCCAGAAACACATAGGAACCATGAGGAAGTAGCAATGAGGAAAGCAAACCAAATTGAATGAAGGGTAGGATTTACAGCTCTTTAATATGTAGCCCCTCTTTTACAAGAGACCAAAAGTAATTGGACAATTCAAAAACTGTTTCATGGACAGGTGTGAGCTATTCCTTTGTTTTTTCTTCACCAATTAAACAGGCAAAAGGTCTGGAGCTGATTCCAGATGTGGCATTTGCAACATGCGTTCAAAGGAGCTCTCAATGAAAGTGAAACAAGTCATCCATAAAAAAAAAGGATTCATCAGAGAGATAGCAGGAACATTATGAGTGGCCAAATCAACAGTTTGGTTCATTCTGAGAAAAAAAAGAATGCACTGGTAAGCTCTGTAAGACAAAAAGACCTGGACATCCACAGAATACAACAGTGGTAGATGATTGTAGGATCTCTTCCATAGTGAAAAAAACCATTCACAACGTCCAGCCAAGTGAAGAACATCTTCCAGGAGGTAGGCATATCATTATCTAAATCTACTAGGAGATAAAACTTCACAAGAGGAAATAGAGAAGGTTTACTACAAAGTGCAAACCATTTATAAGCCTCAGGAATAGAAAGGCCAGATTTGATTGTGATAGATCTAAAAAAGCCAGCCCAATTCTGGGGCAACATTATTTGCAGAGATGAAGCTAAGATAAACATGTACCAGAATGATGGGAAGAAAAAAGTATGGAGAAGGCTTGGAATTGCTCATGATCCAAAGCATATCACATCATCTGTAGTGCAAGGTGGAGGCAGTGTGATGGCATGGGAGTGCATGGCTTCCAAGGCAACTGGGTCACATGTGTTTATTGATGATGTGACTGAAGACAGAAGCAGCCAGATGAATTCTCAAGTGTATAGGGATATATTGTGTGCTCAGATTCAGAAAATTTAGCAAAGTTGAATGGACATAGCTTTACTATACAGATGGACAATGACTCAAAACATACTGGGAAAGCAACAAAGGAGTTTTTAAGGCAAAAAAGTGAAATATTCTGCAATGACCGAGTCAATGACCTGCTCTCAACCTGATCGAGCAGGCTTTACACTTGCTGTAGACAAAACTTAAGGCTGAAAGAGCCACGAACAAACAATAATCTTGATACTTGCTTACAAATCTCAACACATTGCTGCTCTGACCTACTTATCCTCACTAATACACAAATATGTCCCATGTAGGCCCCTAAGCTCTGACGGAGACCTACGTCTAACCTCTGTTCATACTCCTTCCTCCGATGCTCACTTTAAAGACTTGTCTAGGGCTGCACCGTTCCGATGCAACATCCTTCCCCTCTTTGTTAGACTTTCACCTAATCTCCACTCCTTCAAAAAATCTTTAAAAACTCACTTTTTTTTAAAATTCTTTATTTATCAGTTCATGCCTTTTAGTGCCGTACAACAGCAAAACAGGGCAAGTGACTATACATGGTGTTAATCTTCAATGTAAAGAATAAACATACGATAAAGTGGTTTAGGACACATGTTACAACATTTCTTTCACATTTCTGGTTCATGGCAGGGATCCTGCTCGTTAGGCTCTGGTACCCTTGTGCTTCTACTGGATTCAGCCCCTGACGAAGGTGCACTACTATAGCACAGAAACGCGCGTCGGGTTGAAGGATTTTTTCCTTCACTTCTTCACTTTTCTTCACTTATAGGGCACTGTATCACCATGTGCAGGCAACCAACACCCTAAGTATGGTTCTGCACATTAGCACGCTTTCATTATAACACTTTAATTAATTTTTTTTATTTTTTTCTCCCGTCACTCTTATATATGTTGTCTATTTGGAGTTTATTATCATTATTATTATTATTATTTTTTTGATGGCTTCATTTTTGGGGTGGGCTATGGATGCCTTATAACCTCATTTGCGATAGAAGATTGTATATCAGCAAGCACTTAGTTGATAGTTGACATAGTCTGACTTTGATAACAGATTTCATTCAAGTAGCTAGGATTACTTCAACTGGCTAGTGTTTCACTTCTATTGCTTATTTATTTGTACTCTGTACAGGACTTTTTTGTAGCAATAGTAACTGGATATAATGATCAGAGGGATCCCCCTGATCTTTACCACTTTGCTACTTAGTAGTACAACAATTTCTTTAGCCATCTACAAAGTCGGACTTGACTTGACCTACTCCCCTTCTAGACAACAGGAGTTTATTATAAGGCTCTTTGAATACTATGCATAGGTTTCAGACATGGACAACCTTGGTTGATTATATTAAAGTCCTGAGTCTAAACACAATATTTATGTCCAAGAGCTTTGTAGAAAGGAGAAGAGCCATTAGGCTATGTTAATTCACTTGAGTTACACGTATGAACACTCTATATATTCCTATGAACTATCTTTTCATTTTTACATTGATTTATTTGACTATTGATTTTCCAGTTGACATTCCTGTCTCTGGTCCTAGCAACCAGTAACAGGAAGGTTGTTGCCTAGTTCTACTGGCTTGTGCCTCCAGGTTGGCTGTGTGCACGCACCGGGGGAGGGGGAGGGAGCGACGGGCCGCCTGGGGATCCAGAATTAAGTCTGATCTCGTCTGGTATGTGTCCGAGCTGGTCAGTATATCAGTGGTTGGTGTAGTCTTCCCATGGTTCCCATGTTTTAAGGAACAGTGGGTAAGTGTCCCTAATTTGTGCTGTGAGCTTGTCCATAAGGTGCTCCTCGCGTATGTTGCTGATGACTCTCTCCATCTGTGGCATGTGTACGTGTAGCCATGTTTGGGCCATTGCTCGTCTGGCTGCTAAGTTGATTTTGTTTACTAATCTCTGTTCTCTGTTAGTGAGGTCGTCTAGTGGTCTCGCTATCAAGGAGACCCACGGGTCTGGTTTTATTGTTTTTTGTAATATTGTCGTCAATAGATCAGCTATAGTCTTCCAGTAGCTAGTTGCTTTGGGGCAGGACCACCACATGTATAAATAGGTACCCTTTTCTCCGCACCCCCTCCAACAAGTGTCTGTAGGGGTTTTGCCCATTCTGTACTGCTTAACCGGTGTGGTGTACCACCTCATGAGTGTTTTATAGCATTGTTCTTG